TCGGTGTTCCTTGATTGTTCTGCAGTTTGCCTTCTGTTTTCCTGAGGTTTTCCATGGGAAATCGAAGCTCAACTTCTGGGAGGAAGGGGCCCCGTTCCTTATTTAGGGTTCCTTAGGTCAACGCCCCGACTGTAGGGGGGGGGGGGGGGGGAAAACAGCTACCGATGCCGCTGCTCCGCGGACCTCTCTCGGGGTGCGTTCTGACCAGAACTGCGAGGAGACTCCAGCAGTGGCGGCGAGGGCCATCCAGCAGGAAGAGCAGCAGTGCCAGTACCTTTCGGGACGACCGAACTGGGTACGGGAAGAATGGGTACAAAGACCGGCAGCAGTTCTTGTCCAGCTTGAACAGGACTCGCTGTCCGCGCCGCAGCGGAAGTTGCCCCTTGAAGACACAGAACCGCCCGCCCAACAGCGGCCGACGTCGGTTTTGGGCAAGATGTGTTGTTGGGCATTGTACCCATTTTCTTTGTACCCATGCCGAGCGTCCTGGGTTTGCTCTGCATGGGATTCGAGAGTAGAAGTGAGTTATTCGCTCCGCAGCTTTTCTCTCATACAGAAGGGGGGGCATCCTGGGGTCCGGGCTGTGCATGGCCCTGGCGCTGCGTCCGCGACACGCCGCAGCCGGCGTGGTGGGCGCAGTGCTGCTCAGGCACGCCGACCTGGTGTATCAGACCTTCCTGCAGCAGGCCGGGCTCTGGCAGGGTGCGGGCCACGCAGGTGCCGAGGCGGCCGCCCAGGCCGCCTACTCAGCCGCGGACGCGGCCAGCCTGGCCGCCGCAGCGGCGGCAGCGGCGGGCGAGGCCCTGACCAACTGGAGCGGGCCGCTGGAGGGCGTGAGCTGCCCACAGGCGCCAGCCTGCACCTGCTCGTGCCCGAAGGTGCCGGAGTGCCCACCCGAGGCGGACGGTGACGTGAAGGAGGGCTTGTGGCACCTGGCGGGAGGCGCGGTGGGCCACACCGTCCTGGTGCTGGGAGGCCGCCTTTGCGCCTGTCGTCGACGAGATGGCGTCCGAGCCCAGGCGCCGCCGAGCTCCCCTGCGGGAGTCGCGCCCGACGGCCTCGGCTCCCCCGGGCGTGCCGCGCTGGCAGGGCCTGGCCGCCCTGCTCCTGGAGACAGGGCACGCCGCCGTGGAGGAGGAGTTCTGCAATGAACTCCTCGTGGGGAGCTACGTGGCCGTGTTCTACACGGAAGATGATGTGTGGCATGAGCGTCAAATTTTGTTCCAGGTCGACGCCCAGCACTGGGTGGTGTACACCCCCGACGGCGACATGTACATAGAGAATGTGATGGCTGGGGATCCCGACTCGGGTCCGTGCCGCGCGGCCATCCTGCCTGCTGACGGCACCCTCCCGTTCTTCCTCAGGGGCAAGACCTACAGGTTCCGTGACTTCCCGGACGAGCAGCGGCTCCTCGACCTGATCAATGAGGGGTACCAGCTCGCCGTGTCCGAGGGCGGCGAGGTCGTGGGCCCGACGGCGTACACCGACGCCATGGGGCAGAGGCAGCCGTTGGAGTTGCACGAGGGCATCTACCGGCGTGCGCGCGGGCGCCCGCTACCAGCTCTGCCGCCTCCTCTTGAGCCCCCAGAGGGCGGAGACCTCCTCGTAGGGGGCACCCGCACTCCCGAGGTCCTCGACGCGGATGTGGAGCTGGTGAACGATGGAGGCCGCTGGGTGTCCCTCGTCACGATCGGTTCCGTGCGCCGTGGCGACCCTGTGGAGCTCGAGACGGGAGACAAGGTGCTGGGCGAGCTGGCGCTCCACCGCATGCCCAATGGTGAGGTGATCGCCGCGTGTCGTCCCGACTACCTGAGCAAAGTCGTGGATGGAGGTTCGGCTGCCGACGGCGGCGACGCTCGAGTGCTCGCCCCCGTCTCCTATGACCCAGGCGGGCGACGCTGGTGTGACTTTGCCAACGCTGTCAGCAAGATGAGCACAGAGCCGATGGAGGACTTCCCGCTTGAGGGCGAGAGGTCGGCGCTGTGGCTCTTCAAGTACGTTCGTGATCACGGCGGCACGTTCGACGCCCGCCAGACCAAGTGGGCCACGGAGCAGAAGATCGCCATCGACTCCACCGCCTACCTTATCCACGATCTCGTGGGTCTGGCGCTGGATCTCTCTGTGTGCTATGACCAGTGCGATGGCGGCAACCTGGCCAGTGTCGAGGTGCTGGCGCGGCTGTACCAGCTGGTGGAGGAGACCAACGGGACCCTCCAGCTGGAGGGCCTGGAGCACTACGTGGGCCGCGACCCCACAGGCGGCCTACGCCGCGGGGTCGCGCTCAACCCTGGGCTCGCGCACTATGCGACCGACAAGAAGAGCAAGGAGACGGAGGTGATGAAGCAGCGCCGCAAGGCTCGTGAGGAGTCGGCGGCGGCCAAGAAGGCCTCCAAGGGTGGCGGCAAGAAGGATCAGGAGCACCCCTGAGAGAGGGGCGCACCACGGCGGACCCCGGTCGTGGTGCGAATGCCAAGGGGTCAATTCACCGTCGCGATGCTGCTGCTGGTGCAGGAGATGGCCTTCTTCCTTTGGCCTGTCCTCGGCAGGAGTGTTACACTGGTGGCTGCACTGCGCTGTCGCGGGGCACGGAGCAACGTGTTCGGCGGCGGCTCAAGGTCCAAGAGAGGACCGCCGAGACGATTCGAGCCATCAATCGCCTGGCAGGTTTTGACACGCCCGAGGTGGAGTCCGTCGGGGAGCTGACCGGCCCCTCCGCCCTGGTCTACAGCGACGTGCGGGCGCTTCACGCGGCTCATGCCCCCGAGCCGGTGAATTCGATCAGTCCGCAGGAAGCCTTTCATGAGCTTCTCGGGGGCACGCCCTCGTCGTACATGGATGGCGACGAGGTCTCTCCAGTTCGGCCCTACTCGCGCGAGTTGGTGAGCTGGCCCAAGAGGGGCAACCGCCCGGCCCCGCTGCCGACGAACGCGCCACCGGACCTGCTCCGGTACATGACAGAGGGCCAGCGAGATGTGTGGCTGCGGCAGCCGCAGGAGGTGGCGCAGGTCCGGCAGGTTGAGGGCCTGCCGACGCTGTACGGCGACACAGTTTTGAAGGAGAATCGCGACGCCTACATCGGCTTCGTGAAGGATGGCCTTGCTCGGGGGATCTTCCGCCTGAGCCGCCGTCGGAAGGAAGCCGTCAAGGTCTTTTTCGTGAAGAAGAAGGACTCTAGCATTCGGATCGTTATCGATTGCCGACGGAGTAACCAACACTTTCGAGCCGCGCCGAAGGTCCACCTCTTCTCGGGCAGCAGCTTCGGGGAGGTCGAGGTCTCGGCGCACCAGCAGATGTGGTACGCAGGGGGTGACGTTCAGAACGCCTTCTACCAGCACCAGTTGCCGTGCTGGCTGCAGCCCTACTTCGGCCTCGACTGCGTCCGGGCCTCGGAGCTGGGCGTTGCTGAGCTGGACGGCCAGGCCGTGCGGGGCGACCAGATCCTGTACCCCCTGATGAACGTGGTTCCGATGGGGTGGAAGTGGGCCCTCTTCATGGTGCAGCGGATCCACGAGCATGTTCTCGATGGAGTTCCCGAGCCGGGGCCGCGGCGCCGAGCGGTCGACTTTCGGCCTCCGCCTCGAGTCGAGGACGGGGCGGTGCACACAGTGTATGTGGATAACGTGCTGATCGAGGGGTTCGACCAAGCGGAGGTGGCACGACTCCGTGAGGCTGCATGCGCCGCGCTGCAGCGGGCGGGCTACGCCACTCACGACGAGTCCGACGCTGCGGCGAGCATGGAGATGCTGGGCGTCGAGCAGACCGGCTGTCCAGGACGTGTGCAGGTGTCCGCGAAGCGCTACTGGCGGTTGTGGCAGGCGCTGGAGTGGATCCGGCGCAGGCAGCCTCCTCTGAGCAGCCGTCAGCTTGAGCGTCTGATTGGCCACTTCACTTTTGTGGCTCTCATTCGGCGAGAGCTGCTTAGCACGTTGCGCGCCAGCTACGATTTTTCCAGGGGTGATTTTACCAAGCCCCGGAGCCTGTGGAAAAGTGTCCTCCAGGAGCTCAGAACCATCCAGGGCCTTTTAATTTCTGCGTCCAGGGACTTGGATCCTCACTGGTCCTCGGACGTGTTGGCCTACGATGCGTGTGAGTCTGGGCATGCCGCGGTGAGGGGGGCCTGGACGGTGGGGGGTGTACAGCAGGTAGGTAAGTGGCACGAGCGTTGGAGGTATAAGAATGAAGACGATCCCGCTCGTACAAATCCCCGTGGTCACGCTCTGGGACAATCTTATGACAAACAAACAGATATGGAAGATATGTCAAACAAGGAGATCGATTACAGTGATGTATACCTAAACCGTGAATTCCCCGACGTTTCCCCCCAGCTTGTGCAGTCAACTCGGTGGACGCTGGAAAGATATCAACCGGTTTTTACTCGTGAGCCAATTCATGTTACTGAAATGCGGGGCTTCTTGCGATCTATTCGTCAAGCGGTTCGGGATCCTGGAGATTGGGGCAAGTCGTGGCTGATGTTGGGAGACAACTTGGGGCTCATCCTCTCGCTCTCGAAAGGTCGGTGTCGAGACCCTCGTTTACTCATGCTTCATCGTAAGGCAGCAGCGTGGGCTCTAGCTACCAAATCGAGATTTGCATGTAGATGGCTACCCTCTGAGTTGAACCCAGCCGATGGACCATCCCGCAAGAGAGAGCCATCGGCGCCAGCTACGCGACTGGCGAGTGGGCCACCCCAGCCATCGGCGGACCGCACCGACGACTTCCCACGCGGTGCAGGCGCTCTCTCGTGTGCCGTTGAGGTCGGGCTATCCGCTGACGGACAAGCGGCAGAAGACCGAGCCAGACGTGGAGAGCCTCCGTCGTGCCAACCAGCCTCCTCCTGGGCATCCAATCCTGGGCTTGCTGGAGGCCAAGAGCGCGAGCCTCGACAAGGAGCAGCAGCTGCGGGAGCGTCGTGCCGCACGTCGGCAGGACGTTCACGGGCCGCTCCGGGACACGACGAGGGGACCAGGCATCACCGAGGAGGCCTCGCTGACGCAGAAGACACGAGATCAGTATCAACGACTACTTCACGATTTTCAGGAGCGGCAGCAGATGCAGGACCTGAGTGTGCATCCCGCCATCCTGGACGCGCAGATCGTGATATACTTCGACAGACTTTTTCTGGAGGGAAAGGCCCCATCAACGGGGGAGAAGCTCGTCGCGGCCATCCAGTACGTAGTGCCGAGCTACAACGCCAAGGGCATGATGACCTTGCCGCGGGCGACCAGGGCCCTGCGCGGCTGGCGCCGTCTGGTGCCGCGCCGCACTCGGCGGCCCTTGCCCTGGGAGGTAGTGGCCGCCATCGCGATGGGGCTCCTCCGGGTCAACGGCCTGGGGATGGCGCTCTGTTGGCTTCTCATGGTGGACACATACATGCGACCGGGCGAGTGCCTCGACCTCCAGACAAGCCAGATCCTACGAGGGAACGCACAACAGCACATGGAGCGAGCTGCGATCCCCCTGCATCCCGCCGAGAAGGGAATGCCCAGCAAGGTCGGGGCCGTCGACGAGAGTCTGATCATCAACCGGACCTGGCTCTCAGATGCCCTGACCAAGTACGCAGCGAGCCGGCCCCAGCGGGGGCCCCTGTGGGACTTCACGCTCAAGGAGTTGAACGCCAGCTTCCTCGCCGCCTGCATCCCCGCGGGCATCAGCAGCCTGAAGCCGGTCCTCTACATGGGCCGGCACTCGGGCGCCAGCCTGGACAGGCTGACCAACAGGCTGGACCTCGCCGAGGTGCAGCGTCGGGGCCGATGGCGGACGGGAGCGTCGGTGCGACGCTACGAGAAGCGGGCGCTCGTGCAGGGGGTCTACAACGGGCTCGACCAGAGGTCCAAGGCCTACTGCAACAGGAGCGCCAGCGAGCTGGAGGCAGCGATCGTTCGGGCCTGCGGCCACGTCAAGGGCATCAGAGGCGTGGGTTCTTCATGATCGAGGTGTTCAGTGGCTGCGGGGCTTTCTCCAAAGCCGCTAGGCGCCGCGGGGTGGAGGCCTTCCCCTTCGACGTCCTGCAGGGAGCCGCAGGGGGCGTCACCCGCCGTCCAGTGCAGCGACGCATCCGACGGCTTCTGGCTCATCCGCGTTGTTTGGGCATCCCCCTGGCGCCGCCGTGCGCCACGTACAGCAACGCTCGGAGGCCGATGATCAGAAGTCGTGAATTCATCGAGGGCCTCCCGACGAACACTCCGTCGGAGCAGGCCCAGGTCGCAGCAGGTACTTTTTTTTCATGAGGCTGACGGCCCAGCTCTGCAGGCTCGCTGTGAAGTGTGGAGTTCCTTGGGTGATTGAGAATCCTCAGACAAGTCTGATCTGGCACACTGTCGAGTTTCGCAGCCTTCGTAATCTTGCCAAACAGCAGTCGCTCACGACTCACCTCTGTGGTTTCGGAGCGCGGTGGAAAAAAACCTACGACGTTGTGGTCCTGGGGTGTGGAGAACATGTACAAGATGGTGCACAAGTGCCCCAGTTTTGGTTGTCAACCCTGTATATTCTCGGCGAAACCTCATATCGTGCTATCGGGACCAGACCCCACAGGGGTCCGCTGGACAAAGCGAGCAGCTGCATACCCTCCTCGGTTTGCATCCGTCTTGGCCGGCCTCTTTCTCGACTCCGGTTTCACCAAGCTGTTGCAGGAACCAAAGCAATCTTATTTTCCAGTGGTGCCATGGGTGAGCGAAAGACTCAGACAGGCTTCGTGATCGTGAACCGCATACGGAGTTTGCGAATTTCGGGCTGTGTACTCTGGGCTTCGCCTTGCACGTCCCTGGAATATCATGGCCGACCAGCTCGCCTTCGAGATTTTCAACAGATGTGGGTTCAAGAAAAACGGAATGGCACGATCGATGGGTTTGCTCTGCATGGGATTCGAGAGTAGAAGTGAGTTATTCGTTCCGCAGCTTTTCTCTCACCGTCCACAGGCCCCACCACCACCCTCTTTAAAGTGGCTCCCCCAAGTTTTTGGTGTCTCCAAGGGCCCTCCGAGGTCAACCCCGAGGGCCCTCTAGAAATAACGATCTGCGCTTCTCACCCTGGCACCACACAAGTGGGCTGTGTACTCTGGGCTTCGCCTTGCACGTCCCTGGAATATCATGGCCGACCAGCTCGCCTTCGAGATTTTCAACAGATGTGGGTTCAAGAAAAACGGAATGGCACGATCGAAAAACCTTCTCCTCCTCTGATGTCTTCGCGCGCGCCGAAGGCCACTCCGTCCAGTCTTCGCCGCGGCGGGAGTGTCTCAAGGTACAGGTACTCGCCCATTGGTCCCTCCTCCGGCGACCCCCAACCGCGGCGCCGTCTCCCTTGCCTCGGGCGGGAAGCTCCTTGGCGCAAGGTGCAAGTCGGGCGTGCCCCTCTACAGGAGGAATATTCAAGAAAAGTCAAGAAATAGTCTGGGGACGATGTTTTTTCTACTATTTTAGAGCATTTGTGGGGCATGTTGTTTTTCGTCCAAAATCCGTCTGTAGGGGGACACGCCCGACCTAACGCACGGTGTCGGTGGTCTCGCCGCGTCGACGGACCTCGGACATAGCGCGGACGCCCGCTCCCGTATCACACCAGCTTGAAATTGTTCCTTATCCCCTATGTTTGGCATAGGCTTACCCCGGTGCCGATCAGAGTGGTTCCCACTTTTACTGAAGGCTCATCCCTAAGATTGTTATCGCCGTGGGCTTGCCGAAGGTCCCACGTTGCAGTATGAAGGTGCCGCATGCTCTTGCATTGTAGTCATCGACATGTGGGCGAATTTAGCAGTAGCAGCGATGCTTACAGGCAGTGTGAGTCCATTGTGTGATTGCAGCCGTCCGTGTATGCTGATGTATTTGACGACCTACTGCGCTCAAGTGGGGTGAGATATTAATGCAGTCGGGACCGTGCAATCGGCGAAGGTACGATTCTGAGTACTATGTCTCACCATTTTCCCCATGGTATTATTCCTGGCATTGTCAACACTGGTAGTTGCAACTTTACTCGTCTCCAAAGCTTCCCTTCATGTTGTTCCACATCAGACCAGTCGCCCCTCCCCTCCTGTCTTCTTACCCTACCACCAATCCCCTCCTTTCCTTACCTCCCGCCGATGGCTTCAGCTCAGCAACACAAGTCCAACCCTCATGCTGCCGCTGTCGCCGCTGGTCCTTCCGCGTTGCTCGCCGAAGGGGGAACGGTGCGAGGGGGACGAGGTACTTCAAGGGCCCTGAGTTCCAGAGAGTTCTTTTCAAACTCGGCTACTCTTTCATCATTTCCTTTCAGGCCGACGCGCTAAGCTGCAACTCCTAGTCTCTCCGTCCCATGCTCATCCATCATTGTCCTCCTCATATCCCTCCTTGCCCCCGCTGCTAGTAGAAGAGGGCGACAATGATGATATGCTACAAGAGTTGCTCATAACACTGGTAGTATATGGTCGCACTTGTCAGTTGTCTTTGTGTGTGCGTAGGGTGAGGGCTATGGCGAGGAATTGCCGCGGCAAGGGGGCATGGGGACGAGGAGATTGGCGAGGATGCTGTCGCATGATGGAGATGGTGAGGTTGACCACGACCAGGCGGAAGAGAAGCACGTGTCTATCGATATATATATATATATATATATATATATATATATATATGTGTGTGTCGACACACAAGATTGTAGTGGTGTTTCGCGCCATGCACCGTGGTCCTTGGGGTTTTGCTTATGTTGGTCGTTCGCGCCCTCCCTAATGGCCTTGGACATTTGGCCCCTTCCCTGAAGTGGGTGTCGAAAATCTTCGAAAGTTCGGGACGACCGTGGCGCTTCCCGGGCCTCCCGGGGCTCCCGAGAGGCGCCAGGGAAGCGGATGTGGGGGAGAACGGGTGGTGGAGCAGCAGAAAGAGGAAAAGGATGAGGAGGAGGAAAATGAGGAGGAGGAGGACCCAGAGGAGGAGCAGGAGGGAAAGAGATGGCGCCGTCGGGGGACGGCGAACAATCTCGGTTGCACCGCACCGAGGAGCGTTGTCCAGAAGCCAACGGCTACGGTTTCATGTGTACGTGCACGCTTGCAGACATGGTGTACGTATACGCTTGCAGACATATTTGGCAGTGGATGGCGACGAAAAGGCCTTCTTAGGCCCGCACGTTGCCCGCTCGTAGCTCAGGTGCCCCGGTGCGCAATTCCGAAGGAATGGCAAGCCACGCGAAAAAATGCCAAGCAAACCGACGCAATATCTAACAATGTCGCAAAATACGAAAACAATGCCAAGCCAAGGATGTCATGTCGCAGCGGGTCGCAACGGGGCACGCGAAAGTAAGCAATTCTTTGGGGATGCATCGAATCCAGGGTTCGCAACAGATTTCCGGGAAATGTGGTTGCAAACCCTGGACGGGTCAATTTGGTGGAAAATGCCGCGTGGGCCTTGTTGGAGCCCTGGTGGGCCGGCTTGGGGCCCCATCGAGCCGTCCTGGGACCATTTTGGGCCGTTTTGGGGAGTTTGGGCCTTCTAGGGACCCCACGGGGGCTACATGGGCCCTCCCGGTGGCCTCCCATGGCCTTTGTGGGGGCCTCCCATGGCCTTCTTGGGCTTGTCTTGAGGGCCTTGTGAGGGTATGTTGGGCCTCTTTTTGGCTCATGTGGGGTTTCCTTGGGCAGTTTTGGGGCCACCCAGGCCGTCTGGAGACTCTATTGGGGGTCTCTTGGGCCGTCTTGGGGCGATACTGCAGGTCTGTTTGGCTGGTTTGGACGCTGCTACGACCCGGACCGCGAATTTGATGAAGATATTTGTGTCTTGAGGGAATGAAGCGATTTCTGCGTTTTGGGAGTCCTCGTCAAGGCCTCCTGGGCCGTCTTGGGGGCCTCTGGAGGCCATCTGGGTCCTTCTTGGAGCGCTCTTGTGCTGTCTTGGGTCTCTCTTCGGCCTCTCTGATCACTGCTTTGATCGCCCGGGGTCTGATGGCAAGCAGGGGCCAAGCGCCCTGGGAGGTCCGGGACGAGCCGGGGGATCTTTGGCAAGGGTATCGGGGGGGGGGGGGGCGGAAACCTTGGATCCTGGGGGTCCGTTTTTTTTTCGGGGGGGTCCACCCCAAGGCTCGTAAACATATAGCAGACATCACATGTACTTCGATGAATTCAACTACGACGATTGATATAGAGGTGGACTTAGAAGGCGAGGGGCTGATAATATTGATGGGGTGATGCTGGTGATGAGGAAGACGTGCAGACTATAGTGTGTGATAAGGCGTGGCTTACGCAATTTGCCTGTGCGCTTCAAGTCGACTTGCTCATACCAGTTGACCTTGACGCGTGTCCCAACTGGATCGGATTTCAAGTGTCACGTTGTCACTGTCTTCGTCCCTATTACCATCCTCATCATCATTCTCCTCATCCTCGTCATCCGTCTCTTGCGCGTTTTAATCGTTGTTATTGTGATCGTGTTTTGCCTTATTCTCCTCCTCTCCCTCGCAGTCGCGCTTCTCCCCCCCCCCATCGTCCTCATCCGAGTCACACAGCAGTTGTTGCCGAAGCAGTGCCGTGTCAGTCGCCGTGGTCTCTTGCAGCGACGCCGCTTTTCGGGAACGGGCTCTTTTGTGCGGGGATGGTGAGCAAGAGGAGGATGAGCAGGAGGACGCGATGAGGAGACTACGTCAGCACGAAAGAGAGGAGGAAGGTGAGGATTGGCAGGGATATGGGCTGGAGCAGGAGCAGGACAAGGGGGAATAGATGCACGAGGAGGAGAAGCTCTCGGATCTCTCGGATTGTTTTTTGCGGGCTCTGTGCATGGGGTGTCCTGAACGCCGAAAGCAAATACGTTCCCATTCACCTTCGTAGAGCGGGGAGGGACGTGGGCAAGAAGGAGGATAAGGAGTATGATGGGTGCGCATATCTGAATAGAGCAAGTCTTCGGACGAGAAGGCAGGTAATGAGGGGGAATCTGGGGAACAAAACAATGATGCGGAGGATAGGACGGATTGGGATGGCAGGAGAAGGTTTAGGAGGACGAGAAGGGGGGGAAGATGATGAGGACGTCGATGAGGATCATGTTGAGGTGGAGGAGCTGGATCAGGTGGGGGGTGATAGTGATGTTGATGATGAGGGGTGGGTGGGCGACGAGCCGTGGCTCGATCCATGCATGGTTGAACTTGTCCTTGGCATGTGTGTGTGTGCGGGCGTGTGTGTGTGTGCGTTTGATGCACACGCGCCCCGACCCACATGGACAATCTGGAGACACACAATTCACATACGGATCCCAACGCGGAATCGGAACCCGACGGCAGCAGCCTCTTGGTCGTCTATCGTGGCCCATAACATGCGCATCGGTGGTCTCGCTTACGCGGCAGCGCGTCGTACTGGCACCAGGTCGCACATCATGTTCGATAGGATGCTCCTCACCACTCTTGTGCAACTCGTCAAGGGCGGGGGACAACCATTCGAGGACAGTGGGGCCTCATCCTAGATGTTGGAAGCTGTTCAGACTGCGCTGACCACGACTGCGACGCTGGTGCGATTCTTCAAGGGGTCATCGTCAAGTTTGCCGAGCAGTGACAACCCAACTCCCTCTACCAGGGCGAGTGCATCGACGCGCACAGCCACTGGACGAAAGTGTGCATACATTTTTGTTTGAGCTCAGCTTCAGCAGCCCGTCCACGGCAACGTCTTCGAGAACGCTACAGACGAAGCATGCGCAACTTTGCTCCAGAAAGTGGCGAAAGGTGCGCTTGCTGAGATGAGGATTGTTGGTGTAGACGAGGGGGTGAGTTTCTTGGACCAGCTGTCCGCACCTGCCACGGAGGAGCTTGCCGCGCGGTGTGAGTTCTTCCGGGGCCGTGGTGAGCGGTTGGCGGCCTCGCGCTTCTTTCACCTCCCAGACGGCTGGATCTTCACGAGCTTCGTGATGATGTTTGGCACAGGGGTCCTCTCGTGGGCATCAAGAGTCACAGTCCTGTGGGCGATCGAGCTGCGTAGGGTAGCCAGCTGGAGGAAGAACCTCGCGAAAAACCCTCTCGTGGACGTGGCTGGCCCTCAATATTTCTCCCTCGGGGAGTGGCTGGAGATTCAGGTTCCGCGCCCCCCACTGCCGACACTGTCCTCGACTTCGTGAAGTTGCTCGACCAATGCCGTGCGTGCATTTGGGCTCTCCCCGCTCATGGTCCTGACCCTCTTCAGGGTCTGCATTGTGTTCCTCGCCGCCCTGCTGCGGAGCTTCCACAATGACTACTATGGCAGTGACAATTCCTTCCTGGATGTCACTGGCGAGGAGGCGTGTGCCACTCTGGGCTGCGACACCTCCACCTTCGTCTCTTTCGACGAGCTCAACGGCTTCGCGGCGGTGTCCGTCGCCGCCATGGAGCTTCTGAGCGAGGCGATCCGCGCGCCTGTCGCATAGGTAGGACTCCCTTGAACATCTCTCGGCACAGTACAATAGGAATACACTAGGAATGCAAGACAATAGAGAATCAACTCGGAATCTACTTTGAATACGCTACGAATCCAATACAAGAGGAACCCAATATGAGCACAATCGAAATTTAATAGGATTCCACTAGAACCCTAAACGACGCGA